TCAACCTCAACCTCAACCTCAACCTCAACCTTAACCTCAACCTCAACCTCAACCTAAACCTCAACCTCAACCTCAACCTCAACCTCAACCTCAAGCTCAACCTAAACCTCAACCTCAACCTCAACCTCAACCTTAACCTCAACCTCAAACTCAACGTAAAACCTTAATGTTAGGGTTGATATCGGGATTGTGCTGTTATTCTTAACTGTAACCATAACTTTAATTTAAATAGCAAAATCAACATTGTTCTAGCACATCCTCACCTCTACCTTAACTCTGAGCTCATTATCAAACTCAATTTCCTCCTTGGCTCTGAAATGCAAGCAAAACAGCAAAAAGTCCCAATTTTACTCAATTCTAAACTTAAAGTTGTACTACAACTCAATTGTTCCAGTAACTTCCTGACTTATCACCGTTTGCTTTCGCCTTAGTTACGACATAATTAGCATCAGCGTTGACTAGTAAACAGTACTTCAGTTTCGTACTGTCTCAACCTCAAACAAGTTCATACCTTTACCTAACGACAGCAGTCGTGCAAGCGAACATTTTTTGCATAACTAGAAAACTAGAAAGTAAAATAATGAATGTTTACTTGGCATGAAATTCACCTCGCATTCCAGCGCATAGTTTGCGAAGGCGAAGGCTTCATTGCCAATTGCTCAACGCGCACTCGAATCAGTACGAACTTGGCACGAGCCGTGAGCGGTGGTGACAACACTTTTTTTGGTGGCACGTCCAAAAAATTCTGGTTGTCGCTGCATAACGGCAACCATAAATACACCAGCGAAACTAAAACAAAAACAGTAAACCGAACGAAACGACATCGGCAACGATAGGAAAATACGATAACGACGACGACGTTAATGCCGGCGCGCAGCGAGGCGTAAAACGTGCGATAACAACAAAAACGAAGTACGAAGACGATACAATAGGTCAACAGCAACATGCCCGTATATTGGGACTATGACTGGGATTGGCCACACGATCACTTCTGGCACTGGCCCTCCACACGCCTTTGGCCCTTCGATAGCTTCAGCTATCATGCAAGGTGTCCGACCTCGCGTCGCTGGAAGTCGACCTTTACACATCACGATGTGGATGTGTGTGCGCGTGACTGGCATATGCATCACTGGTCGGACGATGGACCTTGGTGTCATCGCTCGTGTTTGGTCAGTCGTGCGACCATCGAGACGGGCGATGAGCCGGACAGCAATGGCAAGGGCACCTTTAAGGTTGTCATCGATGTGCATCATTTCCGCGATGACGAGCTTGTCTTGAAGGTGCGCAACAATGACACCGTTATTTTGACGGGCAAACAAAAGGACGATCGCGGTGAGAAAAGTAAATTCTGCATTACACGTGAATTTACGCGCAAATATAAATTACCAAGGAATTACGATGCCACTTTGGCCAAGGCTACACGTTCCACCGATGGCGTGCTGACAATTATTGTGCCACCACCACCACCGCTGGACGATGTGGAGCGTCTTGTGGATATCGAACCGACCGGCGCCTACTTCGGTACCACTGCCACAACGGCGGAGAAAGACATAAAGGCTATTGAGAATGGTGAGAATGGTGAGGACGGTGCGGATAATGTGGAGAATGCGGAATTGGCTGATGAAAACGATGCTGCTGGTGATAAATCAAAAAAAGCTCGTTTTGACTCCACGGATGAGTCAAAATGAAAAGCGACGTGTGCTGCGGTCGTTCACACTTGCGCGAAATGGCGTGACAACTTCAAGCGGCGTTTCAAGAACTATTGGACGAAAAAGCAGCAAAATGCGAAGCAAAATTATAAAGGAATATGTTAGTGCGTTGCAGCTGCGGTGGTGGTGTGACAAGTTGAATTTTCCAACATTGTGAAAATAAGCTTATACTGAAAAAAAATTTAAAAAGAATGTGCTTGCGACTTATGCAGCCAAACCTAAAAACCTAAAACCCAACCTTAAAAAACTATGCACAGTGTTCTTTAAATCACTTGAAAAATCCCAAAATATATTTCTGTTGCACTTTCGTAGCTATCACCAAAAATAATCTTACTATTATATTTAGAAAAATATTAATTCAACATTATATGCTACTACTTTAACGGGAATACAATGATGCTATCAAAATATTTAACTTACACCTAAGTTTCTAGTCTAATATACTAACGGTCTCTCCAAAAAAAGTAATATTAATAACATCTAGTGCTAATAATATTAATATCTAAATCAATCAATAAAATAAATAAATTTTGTTGCTTAGAAAAACTCTAAGGACACGAAACCAAACCACGAGTTTTTATTCTTGGCGAACAAAGTAATTTTATGGTAGGTTTTACTATGCTATAAGCTTAGATTTGAGTTTACATTTCACAGAATGTTTCAACGGCTGCAAATAATTGTACCACTTCAAAGTCATTATTTTGAGAGACTATTGAAATTATTTTTATCGGAATAATTACAAACGATCAACGGAGCAAACAAAATTTGCTCCACAGATGTGTTTTTATAATATTCATAAATATGTATAAGACTTCGCGAAAAATATTATATATAAGTTACAAAACTTAGAATTACAAAAATGGTCTAAATTCCAAACCTCACAATTAATCGCAAAATCGAAGAAAATACGAAAAATCTCAAAACGTTGTTACTTAAAACCAGAGTCTCTCTCAAAATTGAACATAAGGAACCTTTATTTCACACGACAATTGAGAGCAACAACAATGATAACTAACTCAAGCGTACTAGGAGTCAAACCACCACTTATAGCAGACGTAGAGCTCGAGTTGCCCCGCGAAACCATAGTGACCCTCGCGCAACTTCGTTCTGGATATTGTAGCAGGTTAAACTCCTTCTTATCCAGAATAGACCCCGACATACCAAACCAACAAACCCAACTCATCTAACACCCTTTTTCCTATGGTCCGAATCCGTCGAAACAGCCCGTTTCTTCGGCCTCCCGTTAGATGACCTCGACGACAACCAAACTATCACTTACCATCCAAACGGGGACAACAACAACATAACTAGTGTAAGAGAATATGTCGATAATCGACTGAATTGGTATAATCGTATGGTGTAATTGTTATGCCAGTTTGTGTAAACTCACGCCAGTTGTTTGTTCGATTTGCTAAAGAGGTATATTAATTTCTATATTTACTCTATTTTGCCAATTTATTGAAGTTAAGCCTGTTATTGGTTCGACTTGCTGTTATCAGTGGCTTGGTGTTGTGCAGTCACGTTATGAATATTTAAGGATGTAAAAAATATATTTAGCTTAATATTTCTGCGAAAAGTTAGAGAACGTGTTGATACTTGATGCAATTTTTTTATTTTTTTTTCAGAATATCAATTCTAGTGCTAGCTTATATTTTATATGAAAATGAACATATAGGAGAAACGCTATCGTATATAACTATCTATGATCCATCTCTCTCATTTGCGGGTTAGAAATTTAAATAATTTAAAGCATCTCAATTGAAATTTGATGAATAATAAACACTTAGAACATCTCGTTTAGTTTGATTAAGCAGAGTTTGATTGACGTTTTGATTAAAGAGAGATCGCCGCCTAAATCATACCAAACGTCTTAGTTTTTTAACTTGTTATGACATCAAAGATATTCCAATTAAAATGAAATACGAGTTAAAAGTTTTCTTAATAATCCAAGACGTATTTGACACAACAGCATTCTATATACAATAGGTTAAACAAGAAAACAATCTACTTAGCCCACTGGAAAAATAAAGATATGTTAAAAAAAAGTGTAAAAATTATAAAATAATTATTTATACAATGCGCTAATATATTAGTAACTCGTCCAGTCACCACCATTTTTTATATTTTCATTACAACGGCAATGCATGCTATCAACCAATTTTTCAGTATATGACTATGTTAAATTACGCCATATAGTTTTATTTTCATACTTGCCTAAACATTTTAATCGGGTTCTTATCTGGCGACTGTGAGGGTCAATCTAGTGAAGCAACTCCGTTTTCTTCTTTCCAGCTGCTACACAAGCGACTCCGATGTTTTGGGTAATTTTTCTCTTGAAAAACACAATACAGGGGCTTCCCTAATCACACATCACATTGATGGCAGAAGTTAACGACGGTATATCGTAGTCATGAAGTTAGCATCCAAATTTTTCGGGAACATGATTAGTTTACCAAATCCCTGATTTGTGAAGTAGGTATACCCAAATATGAACTTTCACTGAATGTTTCACTGATCGATAAAGCAGCTGCAAATCAAGAACTGGTCTGAACTGAAGGCCAGTTGGCTCGAATCTTCAACCACATGGCACGAAATTGATCTGAATCTGATCTGAAATTCCCTTTAGCGGTTTCTTATCATATTTAAAGACACATTTTTGCCCTTTCGTGCCAAATTTAGTCTTCTTTCTCTCAAGGCTATGACTGGATTAGCTTCGGAAATGATTTTTATAAACAAATTGTATTGTTGTGCGGTAGCTCTGCAAACACCGCGAATCGGCAAGCCGTCCCCATTTTTGTGCAAACAAAAAGTGTTGGTCCCAATGTTTGACAAACGTCTTCATTAGTTTTAAGTACTTTGCAGCATTCAAGTGAGACATCTTGAGACCTTTTGGATGGGAAAAAAGAAAGACTGCTTCAAAACCTTACGCGTATATGAAATTCTTTTCTTAAATATGTCTTTGTGACTAAAGCGTATTATTGACCGCTGCTGCAATTACCATAAAATCAAGTTTTGTTTAAAATCCAGACCTACTTCATTTTCAAATTGTTTCATGCGAAAAAGCCGATTTTTCTATAAGAATACTTCATACAGATACACATAGATTTATAATATACAAATGCATAGAAATGAACAGAGCGTATAGTGTTTATGATTTACTTACAAACATTACATAAATTAAATAAATAATATAAACATTAGAAAATATAACAAAAATCTCCTAAAAAATTTAATATACTCGACAGAGCGCGCCATCTATGCTCTGACAGCATTGTTGCCACTAAAGCTTATACGAATATATGTATATTTGTGTATACAATATGGTATATAATTTTTTATGGTTTCACTGTTGTTAACACATACGCACCTGGCGGTTATGGCGGTTGTGCTGGCATGTTGTTTACGAGCACGCACATAATAAACTGTGTGGCAATTTCAAGCGACATTCTTAGAATAAGACACACACACACAGCCAAAATCACACGTGCGCCAAGAGTCCAGTTGATTCAGTGCATTTATAAAGCGGCAAGGCTTCGCAGCGAGTATATGACAGACAGTAGCTGCTGTGGTTCTTCTCTTCTGCCTGCCTGCAAATAAGCGGCAGAATATGGCACACGCCAACACACAAGAGAAAGAAACGAAGTCAAAATGCAATATTTTTATGCTGAATGTGTTTTTTACGATTTGTTGCGTCAGAGCAATTGTTGTTGACGACGAGGTCGTTTACTCTTTGACGCCTGCAAATATTAACAAGTTTATTGCCCATCACAGGGTGTACGAGCATATAGTATATGTGTGTGTGCGTGGATTTGTGAAGAAAATGTTATTTCTCGACACGCTCTCTGTATGCAATTTCTAATACCATATATATGCCTTTTTTGTATATATTATATAAGCTACCGCCGCAGCGTTGCATTAATAAACTTGCGTTTATGTGTTAGTATATATATACTCATATATATGAATGTACATAAATATTTTTTTTAGAAATTCTTTTTTCGTTTTATTGTCAAGCTGCTAACAAATTCTTTGCTATTAAATTAGGCGATGCACAGTAAAATATTATTTATGTCACCGGGATCTTCTGACCGTGTATCACCCACCTAGTTATGGCGTGCGAATGGGCTGTAAAAGATACAGGCATAAAAATGCAATAACTGTGTATATAAATATATATATTTGGCCACAAAGTAGATGATAAATTTTAGAGTGAATATTATATGTTTCTATGTTTTTAGCAGTGTCGCTTGTAGACAAGTACTGATATTATTCGCCAAAATGTTTAAAATAAATTTACGTTTTAGAAGCAAAGATCTTGTAAACTTTACTGACTGAGTTTGTGCGAAGAGTTTTTTTCTAAAAATCTATTATATCTAAATATTATATTTTTCAGCATTATACTTATTCTTCCATGTCAAGTCAGTTAACATAAAAATAAAGAAATAAAAATTTAAAAATGGAGGATCAAAAAATCTTGTTTTACAAACTTAAGAAAGTGAAAATTCACAAAGAAATGTCTGCAAAGAAGGGTATAAAAAGATATTGATAACAGCCAGCTTATAGCTATATATCTATCATATATATGATATAGTGATCTGATCTGAAAAATAGATTCGAAAGTTATAGCATTGACTTATATAGTGACCCATTGTTCAATTTCGTGAAGACTTTGTTAAATAAAAAAATGTCCATACAGGAACTTGATTTTTATTGGCCGGGTTGTATATCAGCTACAGTACTTCGATCCCAACAATAGGTCCAGAAATTATAGCGTTGCCTTGGAGAATAATAGGCGGATTAAGTTAAGTTAATTTTGTGCAATAAAAACGGTTCTCCATACAAGAACTTGATTTTGATCGGTCGGTTTGTGTTGGAGCAATGTGAGGTGTGTTCAAAATTAACGGGAATTTTCGTTTTCTGAAAAAAAGTAATTTTTCATTCGTCTACATTAATGCCTTCAAAATGGTCCCCAATATTATGCACTTTTGCCAGCGCTTCTTCCAATCGTTGAAACACTTCTCAAACTCGATTTCTGGGATAGCCTTTAGCTCTTTCAGCGATGGGATTTTGATGTCATCCGTATTTGTATAATGATGGCCCTTTGCGGTTCTCTCTGCTTTTGGCAATAGAAAGAAATTACATGAAGCTATGTCTGACAAATATAGAGGCTGATGCATCGTTACAGTATTGTTTTTGGCAAATTAATCATATAGTCTGTTCCCAATATTAGGGACTTCCAAGGTTTTTGGATTAGAAAAGAGTCCTAAATAAGTTATTAATTATATAAATATTATAGTCAAGATTTATGTTTGTTCTTAAAAAATTAAAGTGGGATTTGTGTATAATTATGTGACTATTTTTAGATAAGGTTATCATATTTCTTATTTGAATTAGCTATGTAGGTTATATTACAATTTTCTAGAAAATTATTGCTAAATAGTAAAGTTAAATTTTGGAAGTGAAATTTTTAAACTGCAATTTATTTTATTTTTAATTTTTGCAAGCAGCAAAACTCACTTTAAAACCCATTACAACTTAACTTGCCCACATGTGTTCA